TAAGGAACATAGTGTGATTGATGTGGACTTGCTTAATAAAAAGGTAACAAAATTAAAAGACCGTGGGTGCACAGAAGAGGGCATGCAGCCAGGTCTAGGGGACAGGAAGATCTTCCTGGATAATGGGTATTAGTTATCCATTGCTGCATAACAAACTGCTCCCAAAACTTAGTAGCTGAGGTCAATAATAAACATTTATCAGCTGGGCGCAGTGGCTGATGCCTGTAATCCCAGCACTTTGGGAGGTCGAGGTGGGTGGATCACTTGAGGTCAGGAGCTCGAGACCAGCCCAGCCAACATGGCGAAACCCCATCTCTACTAAAAATACAAAATTAGGTGGGGGTGGTGGCAGGTGCCTGTAATCCCAGCTACTTGGGAGGCTGAGACAGAAGAATCACTTGAACCTGGGAGCCGGAGGTTGCAGTGAGCTGAAATTGCACCACTGCTCTCCAGCCTAGGTGACAGAGCAAGCTGCAAACCTCCATCTAAAAAAAAAAAAAAATCATCTCATAGTCTTTCAGGGTTGGGAATTTGGGAGTAGCTTTGTTGCAGGGAGTGGGGAGCTATTTTGGCTCAGGGTCCTTCAGTGGACTCCAGTTAGGATGTTGGTCACCTAAAGTCTCCTGGGGCTAAAGGACTCACATCCACCATGGCTCACTGACATGGGTGGCGAGTTGGCCTGGCTGTTGGTGGACGCCTTAGTTTCTCACCATATGGACCCCTGTAGATCTGCTTCAGTGTCCTCCCAACATGGCAGCTGGCTGACCTCAGAGCTAGCGATGTAAGAGAGAGCAAGGGCAGAAGCCACGTCTTTTATTATTGTGTTCCAGAAGTCACAATGTCATTTTGGCAATATCTTACTGGTTACACAGGTCAGCCCTATTCAACATGGGCCTATACAGAAGCATGAAAACCAAGAAGTGGGAATCACTGGGGCCATCTTGGAAGTTGGCTACCACCAAAGAAACGCCTTGTCTGAGTCTCAAAGGATGAGTAGAAATTAGTGGCTGGGTGCGGTGACTTATCCCTGTAATCCCAGCACTTTGGGAGGCCAAGGCGGGCGGATCACAAGGTCAGGAGTTCGAGACCAGCTTGGCCAACATGGTGAAACCCCATCTCTACTAAAAATACACTAAAAATACAAAAATTAGCCAGGCGTGGTGGCAGGTGCCTAAAATCCCAGCTACTCAGGAGGCTGAAGCAGGAGAATTGCTTGAACCAGGGAGGCAGAGGTTGCAGTGAGATTGCCCCACCACACTCCAGCCTGGGCAACAGAGCAAGATTCCATCTCAAACAACAACAACAACAACAACAACAACAACAAAAACAAATTAGCTAGGTAATGAAGTTTGCTGTTATGGTCTGAATTTTGTCCCCCTAAAATTGACATGTTTGTTGAAGCCCCGACCCCTCACACCTCAGAAAGAGACCATATTTGGAGATTTAAAGAGGTAATTAAGATAAAATGTAAAATGAGGCTGTTAGGATGGGCCCTAGTCTAATCTGACTAGTGTCCTTGTAAGAAGAGGAGATTGAACTCACAAAGAGACAGCCGGGAGGTGCACACCCAGAAAAAAGGCCATGTGGGCACACAGCCAGAAGGTAGCCGTCTGCAAACGAAGGAGAGAGGCCCCCAAAGAGCCAAACCTGCTGACAACTTCACCTTGGACTTCCAGTCTCCAGAGCTGCCAGACAATACGTTTCTGTTTTCCGAGCCACCCGATCTGGCATTTTGTTATAGCAGCTCAGGCAATCTAATACAGTTCAGAAAGGTGTTTCAAGGCTGAGGGACCTGCCAGAGCGAAGATCTAGAGGCATGAAGCAGCGTATTCATACCAAAAAATCAGCAATTCTAGATCAAGAAGCAATCTGCAAAATTTCTCTATAAAAGGCCAGATAATATTGTAGATATTTGGGGCTGTAAAATCTTGTTTGCAGGAAAGCAGTCGTAGAAAATATCTAAACAAATGAGGGTAGCTGTGTTTGAATAAAACTTTATTTACAAAAACAGAAGGCAGCCCAGATCTGGCCCATGGGTTGTAGTTATCTGACCCCTGTGGAAGAAGGGTGTGGGGAGTGTGGGAGATGGGCCAGGGGCAGGGTGAGGAATATTGCAGGAGGAAAACCCAGGCCTGAACCAGCTCTGACCATTGTCTCTTCATGTGCACCTGAATTGAAATATTTAAGCACGTCATTCCTTTCAAGTATCCCGTCCCGGGGTAGGTGAGGAGGTTGGTGTGTATACAGAGGGTCCTGTATTCCTGGCTCAGTTCTTGTCTCTACATCCAGCAACCTGAAATCTCTGTGCCTCTATTTTCTCATCTGAAAAATGGGAGTATTACTGAACAAAAGGGTTCCGTGCTTGCTGTGCTAGAAGCCAATCTTGGTCAGGTGCGGTGGCTCATGCCTGTAATTCCAGCACTTTTGGAGACCGAGGTGGGTGGATCACCTGATGTCAGGAGTTCAAAACCAGCTGGGTCAACATGGCAAAACCCTGTCTCTACTAAAAATACAAAAATTAGGTGGGCGTGGTGGCAGGCGTCTGTAACCTCAGCTACTCGGGAGACTGACGCAGGAGAATCGCTTGAACCTGGGAGGTGGAGGTTGCAGTGAGCCGAGATCACACCGCTGCACTCCAGCTAGGACAATAGAGTGAGACTCTGTCTCAAAAAAAAAAAAAAAAAGCCAATCTTACTGTATTAAGTTTTTGAGACAAAAGCTTTTTTTGTCCATATTGTGAGTTGATCAATAAGGAGACCAAAGCCTGGCTCAAATCTGTCTCTCTGTGTTGGCTTTAAGGCAGTATTTTTTATTAGAAAAGGTTTAGGAGGTGGATTTTAGGATTAGCAGGCGATAGGTGGAGGAAAGGGGAGGCCTGGAATGTCTCAGACATCTCTGTCCCACAAGAGTTGATGTATTAAGTGAGGCGGCCTAGGTAAAGTTGCCTAGGGCCTGGCACACAGGTGGTCAATAAATGTCTGTTCCCACACTCATCATTGTCTGCTCCGACCTCCATCGGGAATATGGGGTCATGACTACGGAAATCATACCGCGATAGTTGTCTACAAAAAGGTTCACTTCTGGGGCCCAGATTCTGCATATTGATATTGCGAGCCACCTGAATCTCCCAGGTCCAGCCCACATTCCTCAAAGGGGAAACCCCAGCCAAAGTGCTGAGGACACGATCTGTTTTTTAAACAAATCCCCAGGGAGGGCAGTTGCGGCCAGAGCCCCAGAGCTGACCTGGCCTTTTTTTTTTACATCATGGTAAGCAGGAGGGCCATGACCTGATTTGTCTTTTAAAACTCTGGGTGGGAGACATATGGTAGGGGAGAGGGAATTCCTCCCTTGTTCCTTTTCGATGTCTTAGAAGATGTTCATTAATTGGGGGCACAGCTCTATCCTCCCCCACACCCACTCGCTAGGCTACTAGAAGGTGCGGTCTCGAAATAGTCCACCCAACCATAAGAGCTTAGAGCCCACAAGCAGCTCAGGGACTTAGAACTGGTCCCACCTTTCCTCCGGGGACCTCCTCCTTAAGCTGCAGGCTGTGGGATGGGCTGCAAGCCCCGCCTCTCCACACCTAGCCCCACCCCTTTCTTCAAAACCCCGCCTCTCCTATGAGGCCCCGCCCCATCGAGGCTGCATCCCCGTCCATTGGGCGGCCGGCAGGAGGCGCCAGAGCACAGCCCGCGTTTTCTAGCAGGTTGGCCCCGCCCCTCTCATAGAGACCCCGCCTCCTCGGGTCTTTCTTTCTGACTCTTGGACGCCGAGGCCCAGCTCCAGCCCGCCTCTTCTCCCCCTCCCCTCCCTTCGTGGCCCCGCCCCCTCGAGGCCCCGCCCCGCCCGTTGCGCGGCCGGCAGGAGGCGCCGCGGCACGCGCGGGTCTGGGCGCCAGCCCGGGCCAACGGCGGGTGGGAGCAGCGCGGGAACGTGGCGGCGCGGCGGGTTGTGGCGGAGGTGAGTGTGGGGTGCGCGAGGAGTGACTGCGGAGGCGGGGGTGGCTCGTAAGGGGCGCTGCTCGGCCGCTGCCGGGGGCCCGGGGCGCGGAGGTCGCGGGGCGCGCTACGGGACCCTCCAGGCCGCGGGTCAGGTAGCGGAGGGCAGGCTTGCCCGGTTGCCATGGAAACCGACCGGCTCTCGGGCCCCGGCCTGGTCCGAGGGGCGGTACTCGGAGGCCGGCGAGCGCGGGCAAGGGCGGCCCAGCCTGCGGGGATCCGGTGTCCGCGCTGCCGCCCCCCGCGAGCCCCTGAGCCTGGCTGTCCGCGTGGGTCCCGGACCCTCAACTCCAGGAGACTCTCGTCCCTCAGATTCCCCGGCTGTGCCCTGTAGGGGGACGTTCGTCCGGGGAGCGCTGCAGGGGAGCTGGGCGTAGGGTTCCGCGCGCTCTCCCACCTGGGCGGGCCAGACGTCCTCCACACACACCCCGTCCCGGTTGCAGCCGGATCCCCACTCGTGCGCCAGCTCAAAGCATTGTTTCTCGGCTATTTATGTACCATTTCCAGCCCCTTGACAAATACTGCATCCAAGATAACAGATGCTGAGCCGAGCTCCGGGGCCCCGCAGGAGGATCCTGTTGGTGGGGTTGGCAGGGCCCTGGCGGGGCTGCGGACCAGCCTGCCCTGCCCTGCCCTGTCCTGTCGCCTGTCAAGTGTTTGACTAATCTGAATTGCACAGAAGAATTTGATTGCTTGTGTCCCCCGGTTAACATGGGCCACCTCTTGTGCATTCCAGACAGGAACCAGTGTTGAAAGTCCCTTTTGCTGGGTGGCAAGTCAGTCCCCTCTGCAGCAGCTAGCAGGTCAGAATTAAATCTGATTGAATTGTGTTTGCATTTGAAAGCGTGGCTCAGGTGGGGGCTGTAAAGATGGGATTCACGGAAGGAGGGAGCTGGGTGTGTGAAGTCTGCGTTCGGTTTTCCCTCCTGCTGGAAATGATAATGGGTTCCACATTGTCCTGTTGGAGCAGAGAGGTCGCTCCACCCATGTCGTCAGCGCAGCAGTGACCTCACTCCCTGTACTCGCCGCTGGGACTTGAGCTTGTTTTTCATCAGAAACTGGACCCTTCCTTGAGAACAAGAGAAAACATTCTCTAAGAGCAGCACCAGCCAGCGCCCCACACCCTCGCCGTCCGAGCCCTACGCTTTCCCCAAGTATTTGTGTCACAGAGGAGCGAATGGGGCAGAAGAGGCCGGTCGCGCTTCCAGAAAAACAGATCTGGTTACCCAGGGCATGCTCCGCCCGGTCGGATTTTCCTGCACTCCCCTTGGCCTTTTAAAAAACGAATCCATCCCATTCTCACAAACAGGCCAGGCTCCGCCTTCTGGGATTCGGAAGCGGGCAGCACTTGAACAAGTGGACACCCTCTGGTCTGGCCGAGGGAGGATGACCGAACGGAGAGAAATGCTTTCTGAAAATCCCCAAACAGATAAGGTTTGTGTGAACAGGGACTTCTGGGGGCTTAAGAAGGAATTATTGGAAAGGAGTGAATCACATTCTCTCTGCTTACATTTTCTCCTGTTTCATGATACTGCTAACTCTGCCTCTGCCTTCGAATCTGGCTCCAGAAACTGTGGGAAAAGTAGGGATCAGGGTAATGGGGAGAACAACACTTCTGAAGTTCAAGCTTCCAAGGCCCTGGGAGGGGACCTAGCAGTTGTGTGTTTGTAATTTTCTATTTGTTTTTTATTAAAGAAGAATTATGTAAATGTCAGACCTTACAAAACCTATATCCACCCCTGGGCCCCAAATATCAACTCACTTTTCCATTGTATTTGGGGGGCCTTTTTATAATTTTTGTCTTTTTTTTTTTTTGAGACGGAGTCTCACTCTGTTGCCCAGACTGGAGTGCAGTGGCGTGATCTCGGCTCACTGCAGCCTCCGCCTCTGGGGTTCAAACAATTCTCCTGCCTTAGTCTGCCAAGTACCTAGGGTTACAGGCATCTGCTACCATGCCTGGCTAAATTTTGTATTTTTAGTGGAGTCAGGGTTTCACCATGTTGGCCAGGCTGGTCTCGAACTCCTAACCTCAAGTGATCCGCTGCCTTGGCCTCCGAAAGTGCTGAGATTATAGGCATGAACCACCATGCCCAGCCAATTTTTGTCTTTTTTGAGACGGAGTCTTGCTCTGCCACCCAGGCTGGAGTGCAGTGCTGTGATCTCAGCTCACTGCAAGCTCCACCTCCCAGGTTCACGCCATTCTCCTGCCTCAGCCTCCAGAGTAGCTGGGACTACAGGCGTCCGCCACCACGCCCGGCTAATTTTTTGTATTTTTAGTAGAGATGGGGTTTCACCGTGTTAGCCAGGATGGTCTCGATCTGCTGACCTCATGATCCGCCCACCTTGGCTTCCCAAAGTGCTAGGATTACAGGCATGAGCCACTGTGCCTGGCCGTCTTTTTTTTTTTTTTTTTTTTTTTTAAACAGAGAGAGTCTCACTCCGTTTCCCAGGCTGGAGTGCAGTGGCGCAATCATAGCTCACTGTAGCCTGGAACTCCTGGTCTCCAGTGGTCCTCCTGCTTCAGCCTCCCGAGTAGCTGGGACTACAGGTGCACACCATGCCCAGCTAATTTTTTATTTTTATTTTCTAGAGAGATCGGGGTCTCGTTATGTTGCCCAGGCTAGTCTTGAACTCCTGGCCTTAAGCCATTCTCCCGCCTTGGCCTTTTAAACACTTGTCTCTGCTTCATGCCTTTTCTGTGATGTGGGCTTTCTCCTGCCTAGAGGGGGCCTCCCCAGTTTTTGGTATCATATTTGTGTCGGCGTTTAGACTTCATCTCCAGAGGCAGAGGTTTCCTGAGCCACAGCTGCCTGGTGGCAGAGGCTGTACCATCCACCACCTGAAGTTTGGCTTGGCACCCTGGGGAACTCGTTGGAAATGACCACTATGAAAAAGTGGTGGCTGACCCTCTGCCAGCGTGTGCTGCCTGGAGGCTTCTAAGTCAGGGGCGTCTGGAGAGGCGCTTGCGAGTGGCGCTGTGCAGCTCTCATGGATGGTTAATAAGGGCTGGCTGGAGAGGCTCTTTGTGGGGTTTTGTTCTGTGATTCCAAGTACTCACTTTGAAAACTGACCACAGGAGGCTGAGGTCAGATTCGAGGGCGATTTGAAGCCGCTGGTGTAGTGTGCACAGGCCAAGCCGCACGTTTGTGATGTGAGCACTGTCTGAAAATGCTTTTGTTGTACATTAAATCGAGGCCTTTGATGAGTCCGTGGGGGAAGCTGCGGCTGGCTCTGAGCTTCTTAGGATTTGACAAGGAGACTCGTTGCACCTTCCTCAGAGGAAGAGAAACAAAGGCTTTGCTCCTTTACTTCTTTATGGCCTGGCTCGATGGAACCTCAAGGCTCCATTTGCTTATGACCTGTACTGGGATGTCCGTGACACCTGTTACAGCAAGTTCACATCTTCAGAAAGCCAGGAACAATGAAAGCCTTTGCCGTGGTGAATTGTCAGCAGTGGGCTATAGGAACAGGAGAATGGCCAGCCACCCACCCCACAGGGTAGACATCCGCGTTCAGAAACCCAATCTTGGGTGTGCGAAGCTGTCGGAAGTATTTCTGAAGAGTTCAAGGTCGTCGGAGAAAGCGCAGCTGCTGGCTGACCTGGGCTAGTTCTGGAGGAAATGAATGGTGATCTGATTTCAGGACTCATCCATGACAGCTCTGGCTGGCAGTGAGAGGCTCCAGAGAAGATGAGCGATGCCTCAGTGATATTAGAAAGAGGCCAGTTCACAGTGTCAGCTCTGGAGGCCAGGACGGTTCCACTGTTTAGTTCCCTAAGGGATAGCATGGCTCCTTTTCTTTCGAGGGGTTCCCTGGTTGCTTTCTCTGGCCCTAGGCAGCCACCGTCTTTTCCAGAAGCCTTCTGCAGTACCCGCAGCGCGACAAGTGAGTCAAGCCTGGACAGTGTCAGTCGACTGCTGCGGAGTTTAGTACTGACCCGGGTCACAGTGGCAGGCGACCTATCCTGTGTTCACTGGGACCCAGACCACTCTTTCCAGAGCTTTCCAAAAAACAGGCTTTCCTCCTGGCTCACTCATCTGCCGCCTTTGTCTTCGGTGAGAACATGAGCATGGAAGTGGGGTAGAGTAATGGAGAGATGTGTGCGCAGTTTTCCAGTATTTTCCTGCCTTGTGGTCCAGCCTCACCTTTTACAAATCGGAGACCTGCCTTCCTTTTTCTCTGCCCTCCTGCCCCCACAGAGGTTCTGGAGGGAGACTGAGAAACCATCTGGAACTCCTGGCCCTGGGCACACTAAGGACATTAGAAGTGTGATTGTATGACACGCCAACGCATCCCAGGCTGTTTTCCAGTTTCCCCAGGAGACTGCATCTCTGTGGCCTGGAGCGCCGGGCACCCGTGGCCTGTGGTGGGCGGGACGCACGCATTCCGGCCATGCCTGCACCAGCTCTAGAGGGCCCTTTGTTCCCGCTGTGCTTGTGAGGCCACTCAGTGCTGCCATCCCAGGGAGCATCTCCTTCAAGCCAGGATGGGTCTCTTGCCCGGAGGGGTAGATTCTGGGGGTTTGTGCCTGGAATGTCTGATGGTCGATTCTGTTAACTTGGCTGCGATTCGTCTGTTTTCCTGGTTCCACTGTGTTTGTGACCCATTTCCCACGTCGCAGCCTGTGGGGCAGGAGACACGGGGTTTACGGAGAGGCGAAGCTTTGCCCTCGGGCTGCCCGCTGCTCTTCTGTGGCTGTGACGGTGCTGGGGGCGGCTCCGGGTGGGGCGCTCCCTGATGCTCACTGCACACGGGCACTGCGCCCAGCACTTCCCAGAAACCCAAGCCCTGCAGTGGAGCGTGTCTTACCGTGGCGACCTCATTGTGCTTCCTAGTAATGGCTTTCCTTGAAGGGCGCTTCAGCCCGTTTAGTCCTCTCTGTCTCTGGTGGCCATTCAGGCTCTAGCCACATCCTCTACTCAGGTGCTCTGATGGCAGGTCTGTGGGGCCAGGATGCCCATGGCCTGTTATGTCCATCAGGTTTTGAGATGGGGTCTTGCTCTGTTGCCCCAGCTGGAGGGCTGTGGCACGATCATAGCTCACTGCAATCTTGAACTCTGGGCTCAAGCCATCCTCCAGCCTCAGCCTTCAGAGCAGTGGGTACAGTGCACGCCACCATGCCTGGCTAATTTTTAGTTTTCTTGTAGAGTTGGAGTCTTACTATGTTTCCCAGACTGGTCTGGAACTTCCGGGCTCAAGCCACCCTCCCACCTTGGACTTCCAAAGTGCTTGGACGACGGGCAGGAGCCACCGCCTGTGGCCTCATTTGCTCTTGGTGCTCACGATGATTGGCGCTAACCTCTCTCACTTTTTCTCCCAGGCCACGGCCTCCCCACATCCTTTGGCTGAAGCCCCCGGTCCTCATCCATGAAGCCTCGCCCACCATGTTTTATGGGACGCACTTCATCATGTCCCCGCCCACCAAGAGCAAACTGAAGCGGCAGAGCCAGCTGTTGTCCAGCATGCTGTCCCGGACGCTGACCTACAAGTACCGGGACCTGGACTCCACCTTCTCTAGCCTGGGCGCCAGTGACGATCCCGCCGAGCTCTCCACCCAGCTCTCAGCCCCTGGTGTCCTGAAGGTGTTTGGTGACAGTGTCTGCACAGGAACCCACTACAAGAGTGTCCTGGCCACCGGCACCTCCAGTGCCCGTGAGCTGGTGAAGGAGGCGCTGGAGCGGTACGCCCTGGACCCCGGGCAGGCCGGCCAGTACGTGCTGTGTGACGTGGTGGGCCAAGCCGGCGACGCCGGGCAGCAGTGGCAGGCCCAGTGCTTTCGGGTGTTTGGGGACAGTGAGAAGCCCCTCTTGATCCAGGAATTATGGAAACCCCGAGAAGGTTTATCCCGGAGGTTTGAGCTGAGGAAGAGGTCGGACGTGGAGGAGCTGGCAGCCAAGGAGGTGGACACCATCACGGCAGGTGAGGAGGGCCACAGGTTCAGGAAGAGCCGTGGGTCTGAGTGCTGAGAAGGCCAGCCAGGGGAGGGGGAGAAGGAGTGGCGCAGGGGATGCATGGGGCAGGCTTGCTCTGCAGGAGGCAGTTGGAGCCCATGTCCTGGGTGTTTGAAGGCTTCCTCTTTTGTTTTCTGAGACAGGGTCTTGCTCTGTCATTCAGGCTGGAGTGCAGCGGCACAACCAGAGCTCACTGCAGCCTTGACCTCCTGGGCTCAAGTGATCCTCCCACCTCAGCCTCCTGAGTAGCTAGGACTATAGGTGCACCACCATACCCAGCTACTTTTTTACTTTTTTTAGAGACAGGAGTCTCGCTCTTGAACTCCTGCCCTCAAGCGATCCTCCTACGTTGGCCTCCCAAAGAAGGTTTCCTCTTGAACTCACCATTTTCACCTCAGCTGTCTGGGAAGTCGTCGTTTGTCTACATGGCAGGAGGCTGGCTGGTGTTCCTCAGAGGCTCCTGATATATTCTTGCAATATTTGAGGCCACATCTGTTCTTCTGTCTGATCAGATCATTGTCCAGCTCTCCAGCAGTCATCTCATTGACCACAGCAACCACGCATGCCTTGTTAAATACAGGGTCCTGGCAAGTCCCTTAGCACCTGCGACCTTGTCGGGGAGTTTTTGGGGCAATGAAGTGAAAAGACAATCAAGGAATCCGTCCCAGGCCAAAACCTAGGTGGCACTGCCTGGTTGCACGGTCTCCAGAGGTGACTCTGGTGCACTCGGTGCACCGCGGGTCTGTGGGTGCCTGGGCGGTGGGAGGCCTTTCTGAGGAGGGCCTGGCCATGGGCAGCTGATCACTGTCTGTCTGAGGAGTGCCAAGAGCGGTGGCAGTATTGAGTGCCTGCCCCAGGGCTTGAGAGCCCCGGGGCCTGGGGCCCACCATGTCTGGTGATTTATTCAATTGGTGGGAAGAAGTTGATTATCTTAATAGATATGTGTCATAAAAAATAATTTTGGCCAGGTGTGGTGGCTCACACCTGTAATCCTAGCACTTTGGGAGGCCAACGTGGGTGGATCACCTGAGGTCAGGAGTTCGAGACCAGCCTGGCCAACATGGTGAAACCCCCTCTCTACTAAAAATGTAAAAATTAGCCGGGTGTGGTGGCAGGCACCTGTAATTCCAGCTACTCGGGAGGCTCAGGCAGGAGAATCACTTGAACCTGGGAGGCGAAGGTTGCAGTGAGCTGAGATCATGCCATTGCACTCCAGCCTGGGCAACAAGAACGAAACTCGGTCTCAAAAATAAATAAATAAGTAAATAAACTAAATTTGGTCAGGTGTAGTGACTCACACCTGTATTCCCAACATTTTGAGAGGCCGAGGTAGGAGGATCGCTTGAGCCTAGGAGTTTGAGAGCAGCCTAGGTAACATAGTGAGACCTCATCTCTACAAAATATAAAAAAATTAGCCAGGCATGGTGGTGCGTACTGTAGTCCCAGCTCCTCAGGAGGCTGAGGTGGGAAGATGGCTTGAGCCTCGAAGGCAGATGCTGCAGCTGGGATTACACCACTGCACTTCAGCCCAGGCAACAGAGGGAGACCCTGGCTCAAAAAAAATAACAATAAAAAGAGTAACATGTGGTTGCTTTAATTATGGCTCTTTTTTTTTTTTTTTTTTTGAGACGGAGTCTTGCTCTGTCGCCCAGGCTGGAGTGCAGTGGCGCGATCTCGGCTCACTGCAAGCTTTGCCTCCCAGGTTCATGCCATTCTCCTGCCTCAGCCTCCCTAGTAACTGGGACTACAGGCACCCGCCGCCATGCCCGTCTAATTTTTTTGTATTTTTAGTAGAGACGGGGTTTCACCGTGTTAGCCAGGATGGTCTCGATCTCCTGACCTCGTGATCCGCCTGCCTCGGCCTCCCAAAGTGCTGGGATTACAGGCGGGAGCCACCGCGCGCGGCCTAATTATGGCTCTTAAAGTCTGCTCAGACAAGCACCCCCAGTTGCCTGCACCTGGGGGCCATTCCTCCACCCAAAGGTCGCCGCTTCTGGGATCTGGTTTTCATCCTGACCCTGCCGTGTCACGATCCAGTGGTCCCTTGGAAGGACAGTGATCCAGTGGCAGAGAAGGGGTCCCTCCCCTCCTGATTCAAAAAGACCTCCCGTGAGACCAGGAAACCCGAAAGGAAAGAGGCGCTTGGTGGGATGTATTCTGCACAGGAACAGGGGGTCTTCAATGTCAGACACAGAATTTTGGTCATTCTTCCACCATGCGATGCCTCTGCCAAGCGGAGGGCAAAAATTGGGTGGGACAGGGCCACCTTGGGGCTGCAGAACGTGGGCCAGGGTTGTTGCTGTGTGGCTGGGGGTCAGCCTGGTGTGTCCTGAGGCCATTGGGTTCTGTGTCACCGGGCGAGGAGGAGCCCTGGGAAGGCCCACCTCCTTGCACAGGGGATAGGTGTAGGACAGGGCGCGGCGGGGGAGCAGACGGCATGTTGCAGGAGACAGGAGCTTGTCTGAGGCTCACGGGCTTCTTTTTTTTTTTTTTTTTTTTGAGATGGTGTCTCTTTCTGTCACCCAGGCTGGAGTGCAATGGTGTGATCTTGGCTTACTGCAACCTCCGCCTCCCGGGTTCAAACAATTCTCCTGCCTTGGCCGCCTAAGTAGCTGGGATTACAGGTGTGCACCACCACGCCCGGCTAATTTTTGTATTTTTACTGGAGACAGGGTTTCTCCATGTTGGTCAGGCTGGTCTCAAACTCCTGACCTCAGGTGATCTGCCCACCTCGACCTCCTAAAGTGCTGGGATTACAGGCCACCACACCCAGCCAAGTTCACGCACTTCTTTTTTTTTTTTTTTCTTTTTTTTTAAAAAATGGAGTCTCGCTCTGTCGCCCAGGCTGGAGTGCAGTGGCGCGATCTTGGCTCACTGCAACCTCCGCCTCCCGAGTGCATGCCATTCTCCTGCCTCAACCTCCTAAGTAGCTGGGACTACAGGTGCCTGCCACCACGCCCGGCTAATTTTTTTTGTATTTTTAGTAGAAACGGGGTTTCACCATCTTAGCCAGGATGGTGTTCATGCACTTCCTTTGGAATCATTCCTGTTACATTATTCAGGGCAAGTGAAAGCGCCCCTGCTCACAGCCTGTGTAAGCTGGTGGCGGTTTTTGAAACTTGCCAAAGAGAGTCCATCAGGCTGCCCAGCTGTACTGATGCACTTGTCTGGGCTGGAGCAGGTTGTTACTTACCCAGAACTGGCACCTTGGGCCTCAGGGACTCATCCTTCCTTGCTGACCTTCTTCTCTGGCTATGGCCCAGGGACTCCTGTGACCCCCGGCCATGCCAAGAAGGTTCACCGAGGTGGCTGGGTGGTTTGAGATAGAGCGGCTGGTAGAGGCATGCACACATGCTTCCGCTCATTACAGAACGGTTTTGAGCCTCTGCACGGAGCTAGGGGAAGGCTAGACCTGGGGGGAATCCCCATGTGGATAAGCCAGGCTCCGCTGGGGATGACCCTGCACAGACGCCACTGCTGCCGGACAGCCCCGCCTCAAACGGGCCCGCACCTAGAACCTTCATGCAAGAGCGTGTTCGGTTGTTGTGGTGACACTTGGGTACCTGGACACAGAAATGTCCACACAGGTGTGCACACACACAAAGTCTCCCACTCGGAACTGTTCCCTGCGTGAGGCACCTGCATGGCCTTTCCATGGGTTAGAGGTGGCCTCTGCACATCCCTGGAACCCGCCTCTGAGAGTTCTCTCCTGCTGGCTTGGAGGCACGGAATGGGGAGGGCGCTGAGCCTTTGTTGTGTCCCGTGTCCCCCTGAGTGAGTTTGCAGCCGGCACTAGGTGATTCCTCCCTCACCCTTCCAAGGGGAACGACTGAGAGCCACAGAAGGGGAGGCTGTGGGAAGCCGAGGGGTTGTTCACTGTAGCAGCTTGTCCAGCAGCTTTGGGTGCCAGCCTGCCTCAGGTTGGAGTGATGCAGAAGAATCGTGGTGGGGAGGCTTTCCTAACACCCACTGTGTCCTCTCCCTTACATACCCCCAGTGATGGGGAGCTCTGCACCTTCTAGCAGCTCGCCTGTCCCTGGGCACCGATGGGGCTGCTGTGGTGCCTGTTTGTCCTGAGAGCGGCTCTCAGTGTGGGGCATGCATCACCGTGTCACTGTGGTGGAAGGTGGGGGGCTGCAGTGAAACAAATCCTACTGAAGTGGGTGGTGTAGTTTCCGAAGGACAGCTGGATAGTGGGATGGCATCTGCCCCTGCAGGGCAGGCCCAGTGAGGTCCAGAGCGTGCTAGGGCCCCTTCAACTCCTGCATTCTGTCCCCAGAGGACCCAGCATGGGGTTGTCCCTGCTCCCCGGTGAGAGAACAGTCTGATATCACCTGGAAAAAGTGGCAAGAAAGGGAAGGGACCCCTGGCCTGCGCATGTGGTGATGTGGTGTGCATGTGTGTGTCTGTGTGGTGTGCATGTGTGTGCATGTGTGACCATGTATGTGTGTGTGAATGAGTCCAGCCCTGGGTTGCTCACCACTGTAACACTGTTTGTCAATAATTTCCAGTTATTGCTCCTACGGTAAGAGTCGCACTTGGCCAGGCTCGGTGGCTCATGTGTGTAATCCCAGCACTTTGGGAGGCCGAGACAGGCAGATCATTTGAAGTCAGGAGTTCGAGACCAGTCTGACCAACATGGTGAAATCCCGTCTCTACTGAAAATACAAAAGAATTAGCCGGGCATGATGGTGCGTGCCTGTAATCCCAGCTACTTGGGAGGCGAAGAATCGCTTGAACCTGGGAGACAGGTTGCAGTGAGCTGAGATCGCACCACTGCACTCCAGCCTGGGCGACAGAGCAAGACTCTGACTCAAAAGAAAAACAGAGTCACACTGGTTCTGAGTTGGGCTAACGGGTTGCACCATTTCAGAGGAAGCATTTCGCCAGAGCCTCTCAGGCCTCTCCCCGGCCCCTCACCTTAGACTCCCCTGTGGAGTCTGGTGGGGAAGGTGTCAACCAGGCGCT